GCTGGAGAGCAGTAGAGGGAATAGGATAAGATGGAGAAGGGCGAGGGGAGCTAACCGCCAAAAGACCTGAGGTCCAATTAATATCATTCTAAGGTCATGTCACGATTACGGTAATGCCTTCTACTATATAAGACACTTTTTTGTGCATGCGTGCCACCTCCACGAGGTGTCCATGTCACCAGTGGATGGGAGCACATTGGAAGGAGTAAAGCTTACGCAGGTAAGGAGGTCCCGGTGGTTGCCGGGGGACCAATCTGGTATAGGTATAAATGGTAGAGCAGGTGAGCATAAGCTCTCACCAGAAATCCGATTGGATTTTGTATGGCGCCGACATGTTCGTCCATACGCCTACATATTGATTTTATTGTTTTTTCTTTGTAGTCATGCGTGCATCCTCCACAGTTTCGTGATATTGCGCAGTTAGCGAATTCTTTCTAAAATGGAAACATTTCGTTCTTTATTACTCATGAGTCTGATGCGAAGTTATGAATCGGAAGAGCGGATATTTCCGGTGTCCTTTTCATCAAGCCTTATGGAGCTCTTGATTTCTGATCGTATGATAGTAAAAATAAACATATCTTCTTCTTCAACCTATAATCACTCGTACTCATCATTGATTGAAAAGGGTTTCGTTCTTAACTCTGCTTCAGTTCACTTCTTCTTTTTCTTATGCCATTTCCTTCAGAAAAACTCATGCTCTCTTCGAGCGTTGCGCTTCAGTGTTATCTTTCATGTGTAGCCTTTCAGACCTATGAACCAAAGCATTTACCTCAGCCTTCTTCTAACAGCTTCGCGTTAGTTGCACCTATTCAACTCGAGAAATAGTACGAAATCTGATTGAAAGGCGGCATCACCCAGGCTTATGCTCTCGTTAATGTCAAACACAGGCTAATGTACACAGCAGTGTGGCAGTAGGACACGACGGTTCATTGAGTGATCGCAGAGATTGCGTGCCACCAACTGTCAGATGGTTGGCGATATTTTTTTGAATGATGTCTTGTAGTGGTACCTTCTGAGGGACCAGTGGGGGCTGCTTCTAAGAATTTGAACAACAGAACTTGTGTGGTATTTCGTCAAAGTTTTTCCCTTCCTAAAAGTGCTGTTCCTCTCTACCCTTTCACATTATTTTCATGTAAGAATGTAAGAATAGAGTTTGGTGGCTTGCAATTTCCATCATAGGTGATCGGAGTATTGCGAATTGAATTCATGCATTCTTCGCGTTGCAAAACACTGAGCTGAGCGGTCCTTAAGCAATCTCTTGCCTGCTCATAAAATAAAGCCGGCTTCAAATGTGAAACAGTTCATTTCCAAGACTCATTCATTTGCTTCATTTCAATTGATTTCTGTAAGCAAAGGTTAAAAGCTGATTCTACAGATTCTACAGAACAGCTTCAGCCCAGTTAGGTGGATACGTCTAGAAGTGGGCGATCGGCGGCTATATATGTGATATGAGCAGTGCATACTTACATATGCATATAGTAATAGTAAGGTTACTTCGGTGAACGATACCGCGCGACGAATCTGAAGAAAGCCTTTATGATCGAACGATAGGCGCTCACATCACCAGCGTGATGATCTTCTCTGATAGAGAAAAGCTTTGTAGATTCCCAAACGGATTTATGGCGCTCCATCGCCAGACGGTGATGATTCATTTTCTTCGGCGTCACGGTTTGACCACTTTTAATCAAATATCGCGCGCCCACCGACCCACGCCGCCCGCCACCTCCCCATTTTTCCCCCCCCCCCCCCCCCCCCCCCGCCCCCCCCGCCCCGCCACCCCCCCCCGCCCTCTACCTGCTGCCTTTGAAGTCGGAAACGTAATGGTATCAGCGCGGTTGAAGAATTGATAAGTGTTTTATGACGCATAATTTCCGAATCTTAAAACCTTTTATACTTCTTTTACTCTTCCTAGTAATGCTCATTGTAACCAATAACGAGCCAATCACCTTTATGGGTTGACTTTCTTTTTCTTGAGTCATCTCACCTTCCCACTTGGAAGCAGTGGGAGCTTATTTTTTGCTGAAGTTACTTCTTTCAGCAACATAGCTATAAAGGCATTGTCAGTAATGCTAATTCATCAACGCTTCCCTATGATCACATGATAATGAGTGTGAGTAAGCATTTCTAAATTGATTTGTGTATTCTCGCGCTAGACACTTTGATGTGGCTTTGTGCTCATCTTGCAGGGGCGTATTCTTGATCGTCTGCTAGTTCGTGCTTACAGGGGGTACACACGAGTTTTTTGCTAACTAAATGGTGGTTCATCATCGTTGACCTTTCATTGAAGATTCGCCTTGGTTTGATACTCTCTACGAGGACTCGAACAGGGGATAAGAGCCTTAGAACATATTAACATTCAGAGCAAGGATCGGGTGTGCCGATAAGATTAGGGAGACTAGATCTGCCCAGGCAGTTGTGCATCATGCGCTTCGACGTAGCCTCGTTGCTCCAGTAACAAGGTCAGGCGGCGGAAGGAGATCGCGCGAGGCCGCATGGATTTTTTTGCTATAGAATAATGATGAGTTGTTAAAAATTGATTTGAAATGTGGTGACGTATTAGTAACGTAGGCCCGTCTCAGCGGGGAGATAGATACTGTATTGATTTTATGGGAGGTATAAAAATAGCAAATCCAGTAAAATGAGTATTCTACCAATCTAATCTGAGGGAGGGGATGGAACTAGCCGCCGAGATGTGGTCAGCGGAACAAGTGGACGCTGCGCCGATGTGGGCAGACAAGAGGCGCTTAAGAGGGCTTTCGAAATGGGACTGAGAAGGCCATGTGAGACTTGGTGGGTACGAGACAATTTTAGTGTAGCATGGGCAGGTCAAGGTCGACAGTCGCGGGGGATGTCATACCTCATTTTAACGGAATGTGCGCGGCCGTTCTAGTTTAACGGACTCCCGAGCCTAAATGTTACCGGCGGGTTTGAATTTGCTTCTTTTTTTTTCAGGTAATATTGGTGATGCCAAGGTGCATCTCTCAAGTCCCCAGTTATCTGGGATTGTGTTTTAGGGAAGCGATTAGTGTAAGGAATTTGGCGATCAGGATAGAACCTATGCCACACGGAGCAAGTGAGCTGAGCTACAAGGAATCGTGTGTTGTTATCCACAGGCGAAAAGGTTGGCTGTCTGTGTGGGTGTCTGAGCAGGATTCGGTGGACGCGTTCGCGCCAGTGACATTAACGTCACTGAGGGTTGGTGATTGATCTGGATGGAGACCAGATTTTGCCTATTGGCTGTGTCTTTTGGATGGATCAATTGCCTCTTGTAGCGGTTGTATCTTCATTTTTGGCCAGTTATACTGCTATCAATGGGCGAAGCACTATGCTTGTGACTGGCACTGATGGCGTAAATCGGGGAAGTTAAACGTACGAAAAACGTCGTTCGTTTACTCCGCTATCAGGATGTGTCGAAAATGAAAGGGCAATTCAAAAGGAGGATTACATTTGGTGCAGTATTTTTTCACGGACTGGGGCTTTGACTTTTTTGCCCTTTGAAGAACTCGAACTCATCAGTGTGAGGAAATATTCGTATTTGTTAAGTAGAGTTGTTACAACATTGTTATATAAGGCAACCAAGCCGTACACCTCGCATTCATTCGAATGTGCCGCAGAGAAAAGCTCCTGACAGTTGTAGAAGGAAATTAGATTTTCCAGATATAACACTTAAAACAGTCCCTAGGGATGTTTGATCTCCAGAGCTCAAATATCACAATTGTCGACGCGAAAACGGCCAGCTGCGAGGGCCGCAGTATATGCAAATAGTGCCGAGGAACTTATCAAAAAATGTAGAAATAATGGCAACTATAGACAAGCTTGAAGTAATGATGCTTCAAGTTCAACAACCATGTTGCTGAAGGGTAGCAAATAGTGATTTCGGCAAAGATTTGCTCCCACGACCTTCTGCATGTAATCTCGTGCCAGTACGCAACGTTCTTGCCACCAACTGCTTCCACTAACAATAAGCCAAGTTCGTATGCAGGATGCCGTAGGAGAACGTCATGGTTCTGTTCATCCAACAGATATAGAATGTTATATAGGGTTGATGCATGATTATCACGGTTCTTCAGACATTTTATTAGGCGAAAACGATAAAAATATTTAACAAAAACATGTTCAAATGATTACCGGAGCGTATTCACCATCCTTCAAGAATGCTTCCCATTTGGCAGTCGGTCGATTCCACGGGTGAAGAAGTCACGATTCTTGGAGACGATCCACGCTCTAACATCGGCCACCAAGTCATCCAGCTCGTCGTAAATTTTGTTCGTTTGCCAGTTTTCAACGACTGATTGAAGTGGTAGTCTGTAGGAGCTTCGGTCGGTAAATATGGCGTTTTGAACCTCTTGAACCATCTTTCAACTTGGCTTTTGCTGATTGTTCCCTCGCCTAAAAGTTCGTTGAGATCGCAAATGACTCTGCCGCCTTCCAAACTTTCTCAAAGGTAGAGCATATGTGGCGAATATGAATGATCTTCGATAAGCATTTCTCGTAAGGCAAGAGATAAACAAATATTGTTCCATGGAGATAAACGAAATAAAGAATCTTAAAAAGGAAGGCACGAAAAAACCCTGCAATTATTTTTGCATCAGCCCGGAGATAAATTTCAGTGCGCATACAGCGGCATACATCTCTTCTTGACCATGACAATTTGAAACTTCTCTATATGCCTAAATTCATTCTAACCGGAGGTTTCATTATGTGCAAGATAGGTGAAGTAAAGCTGAAAGACTGGAACTACTTTTTAATAACGGCAAAGCGGCTAGTGGTAGAGGCAAGTGTAATACGTAAGCCCGCCTCTTTAGAGCAACAAACCTATTCAGTCGACATCCATCGACGGTGGGTTCTTAAGTTTAATCATCTTGCTCCCACTCCTAGAGTGCTTGCTCCAACTCCAATTTTTAAGAGTGATAGTTAATTTTGTTTGCAATGCGGTTCTGGTGTTGGAGGGAGCGACAGGAAAATCGATATGCCACTGGTTCAGCGACTGACTCTTCTTAATGTTGCTACAAACAAATGTGTCGCTCGCAGGGTTTGTTTGCATACGAATGGCTAGCAAGTATTCTAGCAGTCTTGCCCTACAGCTACACAACTTTGTAAGTGTTGAATTTGATACCACGGCGACATGAAAGCTTCCGTTGGTTGCGTCTGTTTGGTTGACCCTTGTTGATTGTTTTTCATTTTCTTCTCACGCTGTCTTATATGGCGTATGTAATAAATAAACAAATCAAATTTGGTTGTAGGAGGGCAGGGAATGAGTGCAAAATTGAATGTTTTCAACTGTATAGAACTACCTAATCAGGTTTTCACTATTCATTCTTCTTGACCGTCGTACAGAATTTTGCCTTCGGCTGTTTTTCGATTTTTGTCGACGAAAATGCCAGTTTTGAATGTAGCGTATTCGTCAACGTGACTTTTGTTATAAGTATGACGTCATAAGTATAACAGGTCAGGTACCCTCAAAGTGGTAATCCGTTATTTTGTAATTTTCAACAGCTCTCATAGGTAATATGTACGGGAATATATTGGAAAGCACACGGGCACTTGCTGTGGTTTTCGTATTGCACGAATGTTTCTTCAATATGCGGTCGCGTTTGTTGAAAACGGGTGACGCTCACGTATCACATCTTGTGTAAATTTTCTTGACGCCATGTAGCACTCAAGTGTCCAACAGTTGGCAGGCTTCTCATGTCCCTCATTTTCTGTCGTAGCAGTAGCAATAGTAGTGCTTGATCCCTCTATCTTCGACACAGGGTAAGCAAATGTTGATGATTTCTCGACAGGCAAAATAGGGTGAGGGGTGTATTGGCTGCCATATTTCTTCAAAGAGTGACTCACCTTGCCCCGTAGTAACCTTGAATTTCCTCTTGTTAGACTTTCGAACATTCCTCTCCAAGATGTACTCTCGGCGTAACTTCTCTCTTCTCAACGTAATCGTGCAGCTTCAATATTAACATTATTATATTAACATTCAATATTAATATTTCAATATTTGATTTTCAGAAAGAGGCAGCGCTGATGAACGAGTACACTTCGTTGAAAAACCTCGTTGATGAGCTCAATAAGGAAGTTGCCAAATTCGAGCAGTTGTGAGTATTTTCAGCAGTTTTTTTTTCGTGCATTGCAAATTCAATCAAGAAAGGTGTATGCTCAGATTGTGTGGATTTCAGCAAGAAAGAACAAGATGAACTTGAGCAGAAACTGCTCGCCAAGGAAGCAGAACTAGCCGAAAAAAGTGCTCGTCTAGCGGCAGCAGAGACTGAAAAACAGGTTTTGGTAGTCCAAGGGAACGGGAGGAGGTAATCCCTTGTTCAGGGGAGTGTCCTTTTGCTCTCTATGCTATATTCATTTTCCAGTGCTGAGTTGGAAGTTGAGAATGCTGAACTTCGGAAAAAGTTGGCCGAATTAGAAGATAAATTGACTGACGCGAAAAAGGCACAGTCTGACGCGTAAGTTTTGTTTGCACTTCAAACGTTACATTACTTTATCCACCGTATCGGCTGATTTTGATAAACGTCTTGTTTTCAAGGCTTGCCGAACTGGCTGCTGCTCGTGAGCAGGCAAATGAGGAGGTACGATTTCATTTATTGAATTTCCTTTTTTTTCTCCTTGTGAGATCAATTGATCTATAAGATTGGCACCACTGTTCCTTTTACTTGCTCATTTTTCAAAGTGTGGTAGTTTTTCTCGAACATTACCCCCGGGACTAGATTCGGCTAGAAATTCACCATCGCTGGCATTTTGTTATGAAGATCACGAATGTCTCCGTCGATCTACAGTAATGTGCC